ACCCCCTAGGGGTCGCGGATCCCCTGTTGAAGACCTCCGCTCAAGAAGATTTTACTAACACAAACTGAGGGACCAGGCTGAGGTAGGAATTTAAGGTTACTGAAGTGCGGATTTTTTTACTGAAAGCCGGCGGGCAAACTTTTTGCCATCATCCTCACCGACCACCTGGTCATAAAACTGTTTTAAGTCGCCTCCATGCTGCTGTGGCCTCCACGCTGCCTTTTGTTTTGATGACGCACGCGGCTGTAGGCTACGACGCTGGTAGCTGCTGTTGCCAGATTGGGTGTTTTTCCCGCTACATATTAAGGCCTGTTTACGGTGTGATTTAGCCGGGGTTTCGCCTGGAGGGCTTTATAGAAATCTGGCAACCTATTGAACGGAGTTGAACTGAGAGAGCGTGCCGTTCACAGACACCAGAATGAACGAGTTCACAATAACGTTCATCAGGCAATAATGCAGTACGTTCAGTTCACGTTCGCCCAAAATATGAACGAGTTCATGAACTTTCGTTCAATGAACGCGTTCAGGCACAACACTGAAGACTAGAACTAGAGACCAGTACCAAAGAGACCAGAACCATAGAGACCAAACACCAACAGATCAGAAACACAGAAACCAGATCTCCAAAAAGCAGAACTACAGAGACCAGAACCAAAGCGATAAAAAGTATGCTCTCTCTGCTTTTCCTTAATGCTCTCTCTGCTTTTTCTCATAGTAGCTTCATCTGGTCTGTTCCTGTTTGGCTGTGACTCCATCCTGGAGAGAAATATCAGCTGTGCTGCTGCCATCAACACCTTTGTTTCTAGATGTTGGAGCTTGGCCTGTTTTCCAGTGTAGTCCTGTTTCTCTGACTGTGACTAACTGGATGTGCTCTTTTCATCCTCTGACATGGGAGCTGGCTCGGAGCTCGTCTGCCTGGCTGTGTGTTTCCTGGACGGGGCCGCCTGTGGAGCTGGTTGACAGTTGCCTTTTGTATCTATGCTTCTTTTTCTATGTCTGCTTCTGTCTCCTTGAACCTTAATGGGCCTCAGCAGATGGCCGCTCACACTGAGCCTGGTTCTGCTGGAGGTTTCTTCCTGTTCAAAGGGAGTTTTTACTCTCCACTGTCGCTACAAGCATGCTTAGTGTGAGGGATTGCTGAAGAGTCAACGAGTCGATGCAATCAGCTGGTTTTCCTTAGATAGAAAACTTTGAATCAATCTGACTGGATAATCTGGTGAACTGGAAAGTGACCTGAGACGACATGATGTGAATTGGAGCTATAGAAATAAACTGAATAGAATTGAAAGTGGAATCCATGTCATTTGCATCGGATTGATTTCAGATGGTAGAAAATATTCTGCTCTGAAAGATTAAAGCCTGATCCTCCTCAGTTAATTGTTTGCATTTCACACATTGACCGTATGTGTGGTAGTAAAATGGTGTTAATTGTTGTAATAGGTCGATTTGTCAGCATTGGTTGATTCAGTTTCTGGATGTCACAGAACAGATTACTAACAACCACACTAGTAGCAGGACTTCCAAAAGATGCAACAGCTGCTGCCTAAAAAACACCTTCAGATATAACACTCAACCAGCAGTTGTTTGCTTTAAGACAGGGTTCAGAGCTGGAGCACAGCATGAGGAGTAGGGAGCTACTGGAGCAGGATAAGATAAGATAAGATAAGATAATCCTTTATTTGTCCCACAGTGGGGAAATTGCAGCGTTGCATCACAGTACAGTAGGAAAAAAGAAGAAGAAGAATAAAAAAGTATAAAAAAAAAATATATATATATATATACACACACACATTAAGTATATACAGACAGACAAGGCAACACTGGTATAAAGTGACAACAGTAAAGTTCTGTGCAAATGATTGATTGTATTAAATTATTGCAGATTTAAATAGGTATGAGTGATGTATACAGTAGATATGCAATAATTACAGGTAAAGTGACGGTGGACATATGGTTGATACGGAGCTAGCATTGTTGGTTGTACAGTCTGACAGCAGCGGGAAGAAAGGATCTGCGGAATCTCTCCTTTATACAGCGAGGGTGTATCAGTCTTTCACTGAAGCTGCTCTCCAGAGCAGAGAGAGTGTCCTTCAGGGGGTGGTCCTCATGGTCCAGCATAGACATGAGTTTGGACAGGGCCCTCCTGTCCCCCACCTGCTGTACAGAGTCCAGAGGACAGCCCAGGACTGAGCTGGACCTCTTGATGATCTTGTCTAGTTTTTTTCTGTCCCTCTCCGTAATGCTGTTGCCCCAGCAGGCCACACTGTACAGGATGGCTGATGCCACCACAGAGTCGTAGAAGGTCTTCAGGAGTGGCCCTCTCACCCCAAAAGACCTGAGCTTCCTCAAGAGGTAGAGCCGGCTCTGGCCCTTCCTGTACAGAGCCTCCGTGTTGTGAGTCCAGTCCAGTTTGTTGTTGAGATGAACACCCAGGTACTTGTAAGTGTCCACCCTCTCAATGTCCTTTCCCTGGATGTTCACTGGGGGAGGGACGGTGGGACGGCGTCTGAAGTCCACCACCATCTCCTTGGTCTTTCCTGCGTTTATGAGGAGGTGGTTCAGCTGACACCAGTCCACAAAGTCCTGAATAAGTCCTCTGTACTCCGCGTCGTCATCATCTGTGATAAGGCCAATGAGGGCGGAGTCGTCGGAGAACTTCTGCAGGACGCAGCTGTCCGTCTTGTGTCTGAAGTCTGCGGTGTAGAGGGTGAAAAGGAAGGGCGCTAAGACCGTTCCCTGGGGGGCCCCCACACTCCAGGTCGTGATGTCAGACACACAGTCTCTCGTCCTCACAAACTGGGGCCGGTTTGTGAGATAGTCCAGGATCCAGTCGGCCAGGTCACAGTCCACTCCTGCAGTCTCCAGCTTGTCTCTCAGGAGCCTCGGCTGGATGGTGTTGAAGGCGCTGGAGAAGTCAAAGAAGAGAATCCTCACAGCGCTGCCGGGCCTCTCCAGGTGGGACAGAGAGCGATGCAGGATGGAGATGATGGCGTCCTCCACACCAATACCAGGTCGGTAAGCAAACTGCATGGGGTCCATAGCAGAGCTTACTGTGGTGCGGAGGTGACTGAGGACGAGCCGCTCCAGGGTCTTCATCAGATGAGACGTGAGGGCCACTGGTCTGAAGCTGTTGAGGTCACTGGCGTTCGGTGTTTTTGGCACAGGAACCACACATGAGGTCTTCCACAGTGCAGGGACGACACTTTGCTCCAGACTCAGGTTGAAGACTCGATGTATGACTCCACACAGCTCATCTGCACAGGACTTGAGGAGGCGCGGGCTGATGTTGTCTGGTCCTGCTGCCTTCATCTGTCTAAGGCGCCTGAGTTGCTCTCTAACCTGGTCTGTTGTGAGAGAGATGGTGGAGGATGATTCCCTGGATGAAGTGTGGGGAGGACGTAGGTGAGAGGTGGGGGTAGTGGGCTCAGGCACAGGCTGCTGAGCAGGGGGAGTGGTGGGGGGATGTGGTGGTGTCACCTCAAATCTCAGGAAGTGTGAGTTGAGGTCGTTGGCTCTGTGTATATTGCCCTCTGTAGCTGTGCTTTGGATGCCTGCTGGTGATGGACATGCCTAAATCAAAAGGAAATGGCAACAAGGCTTTGACAGGTGTGGCATGGTCGCATTCTGAGAAAAGAGAGGATGACTGCAGAGACCTGGGAGCTAACAGGTAGTACCCACAGTGGCAGCCTAACCTGCTGGATCATACTGAGTCTGTCCAGGATGAGGTCTCACAGGATGGACATCATAGAAAGAGAGTTTGCACATCTCCCTCAACTCAAACACAGCATGAAGAGGCTGCTAACACAGCTAGGCAAGGGCAGCAGATTGGTCTGTACAGCTCCACATGAGGGCGCCAGAGATCAGCTGCAGGTTAGAGCACCACATGGCTCGCATGGACAGAGTGGCTGAAGAGGCTGTCTAAGAGGACTCGTTGGCGCTGCAGCTCCTATGTTTTTCAGCTTCTCCTGTTCGAGGTGAAATGCAGCTCTGCAGCCATTCTGTCGTACTGATGATCATATCAGGATCTAACACAAACGGCGACCTTGTAAACAGCAAAAAGAAACCCTTAGGTCCAGATTTCACTCCATGTTGGCCCCATGCCCTAAACCTTGTAATGCCTTGTGTCTGAACTGTTTCGTTAAGGTTTGCCGGATTCAGATCGGTTATCTGAACAAACACACTTTCTGCAATAGTATTTTAAAAACCAATTTCTGCTTGTTTTAGCATTGACTTAATCTCACACTTGATTTTTATTTGTCTGTTCTGAAATCTTGAGTCTAAATATTTTATTTAGATAGATGGTCATTTGAAGACGTTCACTGTATTATTGTTTAAATGATCTGTTCCTATTACACTGTGAAGATTATTTTTTTCTCACATGAAAGGTAGGTTCTGTTTTTCCTTGTGCTGAAATTCTTTCCCCAAGTGCTCTTCATCATTTTAGTCCTTTTATTATGTTTCTCTATAATGTCACTGTAACGTTTGACGTATGATCCACTGAAAACTTAATGTGGATTCCTCTTAACAAAGCATCTTGTGTAAGATATTACCCTTAACATGTGTACATTTATTTTTTCTTATTCTGTTTTATCTCTTTGTGTTATTTTCTCTTCATGGAGTCTGTTTTAAGCTGTTGTCCCGATTGTGTTCTGAATAAAAATGCTTATATTGTATGCTAATGTACTGTAACTGTCTTAGAAGCAGGGAAAATGTCAGACTTCACAATTTTCACGTACAGCAAGAACCTAATATGTTCAGAAACTGTTGGTTCCCAAACAGGTCAGTCTGTCCGAAAGCAGCTAAAACAAAGAAGCTTTACATTCTCAATATAAACACTTCCTGTCTAACTGTTACTTTTGATTCGCCTTTTTAGCATCACAGGTTGAATTTATTGATCTAATTTAGAACTTTATATCTAAAACAGAACCGTAGCCAAGGTGAGCCAAAAATAGTTGCTTAAAACACAAAGGGAGGGGCGGTGACCAGTGTTTGTTGTCTCCATGGTAACAGCTCTGTTGCTGCTCAGTGAGTTATTTCTTCAGCCAGACATGGAGGATCAGAGAAGAGGAAATTGTTACCTTAACCAGATGGATCCAAACCTGAGACAGGAGCTTAACAATCCGGAATGTTTCCATGGCGATAGGTAAACTAGCAACAAGCTTATTGGTTATTAATACCTTAAATATTGTTCCCACAGGAAGCTGCCACTGTGTCTGTAATGTTTCAGACAGATAGCAGTACTGCAGACAGCTAACTGGACTATCAGTCCTTGTGCTCTGATCTAGTAACACATTTTAAAGCCAACTTCTAATCCTTTGGGCCTTGATTTAGTTTAGTTTATTCAGTCAAAAAAAGCTTTTTAATCGAAGGAAAAAAAAGTCTCTGAATGCAAAAAAAACAAATCAAATTTGAACACTATTTTTTTTTGACTGAAAATGTTTTTCTTTTAAAAGAAGTGAATGTTCTTTGGTTGCTTTTTAATTGAAGTAATATTGTTTTGTGTTTGGACCATATAACAGGTAGGACATTTATGTCCGAATAATTCAATTAATACTCTACATGTTTGTCTCGCTAAATCAAATCAACTCTGTTGTAAAGTTAGCAACTTTTCACTATATGTAGCAGCTTTCAAACCCATTCAGTTTTTAATTTTTTCCAAAAGTGACTAGCGGTGATTCAAGCAGCTTGTTTGGGTCCCCCAAATTTATTTTATAATCTTTAAAGTAAAAATGGCAGAAAATCAAAAGTTCTTGAAATCCTTTAATGCATGGAAGCATTACAATTTTTCATTAAACATTTTTGTTAATGCTGCGATTTAATTTAGAGTTCTGACTATAGCCCTCAACATTTATTTTCAAACAATCTAAAAATTAATCCATCAAATAAAAGGTGTGACAGGGTTACAGTTGAAGGTAACGTTGTTGAAGGGACTAAAACAGCTTTACGTAATACAGCTGTTTTGTTTGTACACTCAAATTCATAGCATTATAATTCATTATATAACCAAAGGAAGGACGGATATAAATCGCAATTGAAATTAGTTTGTTTGACCTAAACAGGGACATCAGCAGCTTTATCGGTTTATAGAATCCTCACATTTTACAAAGAGTGTGTGCTCTTGTTTGTAATACATTGCAGGGAGTTCCCTTCAACTTCTGTTTTTTCTTTGAATTTTTTTTCAATGACAATATATTTATAAATGATAAATGTACTTTTGATTGAATAATAAGGAAACATATCTTTCTCCATAACTGAGGAGCACCAGGCAGTGCTGTTTGTCTTTCTGATTCCAGCTGATTCAGGGTTGGCTTTTTTATAGTGGATTAGTGGACCGCGGTCTGGATCTGGACCCACCTGCTGGCTAATCCGGACACAACCTGATTTAAAACATTTATAAATTACCGCATGTGGTCTGAGGGCAGTGTCTAAACATCCCTTGCACCGCTTCTCCTGTTACCCTGAAATCCCACCTCCTCCATCTCCATGTGTATTCATTTGTATTTTAATTTTGATGGAGTAGGGTGATGGTTTAAGACTTTTAGACTTTTTTGTTTTGCATCACTAGGGGTTTCAAAAAGTTAAAAGATTCTGTAAAAGCACCTAAAAAACAACACAGCAATATACAAAATTAAAAAAATTAACTGTACTTTTGAACAAGTTCTTTAGTTTTTTTTCACTTGAGTGAACATTTGAATGTGAATGTCAGTCCTTTTACTTACGAGTTAAGTACTTTGTCCACCACTGGTGTTTTACAATTAGCACTCAAAGCTAAGTCTAGTGCTAATCCCAGAGCTGGGTATAGCCAAACTGTTGTTGTCAGTAAAGCCTGTTATCTATGTCCTAATGATGATGCTCTTTGGCTCTCAGGATGAAGAAAAGTCATCCTTTATATAGGACCTCGAACCAAACTTACGGCAGCAAGAAACCAACAGTTCATGAGATGCAGGTGAGAGAAGTTTAACAGCTCATTTATTACTTTTAAGTAATTAGCAGCTTTAGGAGTAGAGCGAGGGCTGTTTGGCTGCAGCAGCTGATGAAGAATGTTTTTCTGTTTCAGACTAGGTTGTGGGTGACGTCTCATCGCTTTTCAGAGCTGCAGGGGCAGGCTGGGATGTACCGGGATCACAGCTTCAACACAGCCATAGAAAGGAGCAAAGTCATGCTTTCCACAGAAACCCAGAACCGGAGATTTCAGCAGCACCATATGAATCGCTATGGAAACCAAATTATGGAGCAGCATCAGCAAAACAAAAACACATTAAATTAGATGAATTTTCTCCTGTTGATTTCAGACTAACAGATATAGAACAAATAAACAGTTTCACTGATCTGGTATATTTCCACCAGAATCAGATCACGAACGTGTCATTCTCCATTTCAACCAGCAGATGGCAGCATTGTTTCAAAAAGGAGGACAATGAATCTGGAATCACTGAGACACTAAATTAATCCATCTTGATCAATTTCAATCCTTTCATGTTTTTATAGCTGTGATAATTATTCAAAGATTCATTTAAAGGTTAGAGATTCATTTAAACTGTGTTCTCCTGATTTTATCCCTCAGATAGTTTAAAGCAGCATCGCAGAAAAAGCATTAGATGAGCAACAGTCCTTGAGCTTACCAGGATTTCAGGTGTTAAACCAAAGAAGTGGATATTCTTGGATTCTGCTATGATCTCTTCATTTTGCTGCTGCACATTCTGGGTTAATCTAATAACCTGAGCTATCTCTATAGTTATGCTGCTATAGGCTTAGACTTTTGGAGGACATAGGGACCCCCATTTCATCATTCTGCTTCATTCTCTCTCTGTTCTCCTATTCTGCAGAATCTGTTAGTTCAATCTCTAACCTTCTGCTCTCTCTGCTTTTCCTCAGAGTAGCTTTGCCTCGTCTGTTCCTGTTTGGCTGTGACGTCATCCTGGAAAAAAAAACATCAGCTGTGCTGCTTCTATCAACACCCTTGTTAATAGATGTTGGAGATCGGCCTGTTTTCCAGTGTGGTCCTGTTTCTCTGACCGTGACTGAGTGGATGTGCTCTCTTCGTCCTCTGGCATGGGAGCTGCCTTGGAGCTCGTCTGCCTGGCTGTGTGTTTCCTGGACGGGGCCGCCTTTTACAGCTGCTTTTTGTATCTCTGCTTCTGTCTCCTTTAACCCCAGTCGGCCTCGGCAGATGGCCGCTCACACTGAGCCTGGTTCTGCTGGAGGTTTCTTCCTGTTAAAAGGGAGTTTTTCCTCTCCACTGTCGCTACAAGCATGCTTAGTGTGGGGGATTGTATTTGAGTCAATGAGTCAATGCAATCAACTGGTTTTCCTTAGATAGAAAACTTTGTATCAATTTGACTGTATGATCTGGTTGAACTGTAAAGTGCCTTGAGATGACATGTGTTGTGAATTTGGCGCTATATAAATAAACTGAATTGAATTGAATTGAATACAGATTTTAATTTCTGAAATGGAAATTCATAAATTTCACTTGAAAACCTCTGTTACAAAATATGATAAAGAGATGTTTCAGTTTAGTTAAATATTTACTAAACTGAAACATTTTAGTAAAATATTTCTTTCTTTCCATGTAAAAACACAAATATTTATTATAGGCCTATTAAACATTTTCTTCATGTTTATTGGTTCTAATTAGGCCACAATGATCAATGGTATCAAAAGCATTCTTTACTCTTTCTGCAGCGTGTCTTTTATTATATAGTTTGGATTTCTTTTACTACTTCCAGTAATGCTGGAGATTTTGATCTGAATTTTCTAAAAAGGTTCTGGGTCAGAAAGCAGTTTGTCTCGGGTCTCGTTTTGTTCATTTCCTGCTGTCACCATGTTCCATAATGTTATGGATGGACCTAGAGATGAAAACTTAGGCAAATCCAGAGAGAGAAAAGGGTCCAAACATGGTCTGACACAGTAGTTGTGAAATGCGCACAAGTTTTACTCACAAACCAAATTCTTTATTTCCATAGCAGCCACTCGGAGAGATTAGCTTCATCTCTGCAGGATTTTGTGGTATGTTGCTTTGTCTCTGTGCCATGAATGTCTGAGGTTCTGACTAAGACAGAGAAAAGCTGACTGTTGCTCTGACTTATGAAAATGGAAACAAAATAGCAACTTATAGAGGAAAAGAATGAATAATATAATCCAATAGGATAAAATCTAAAGTTATGTGTCAGTTTAATCTGAATTAGATTTCTCTAAATGAAAAACTAAGAAAAATGGATTTTCCTTTCATTCAAAAATATTAATACACATGTATATCATTTAAAACATATGATCAATGAAATCAGCGACTTAAAAATAATTGGGCATTTCTTCAAATAAGCAAGGAATTGTGTTATTATCTAAATGCTAAAGTTTAAGTTGTTAACCTCAATTCTTTAAGATTAGATTAAACTTTAAGGGTAAATAAATGTGTAGAGCAAAATAACTTATATAAAAATAAATTAGGCTGATTGAATTTGCTTTTAAATTATTTGCAATTCTTTAAGAAGTAAATCTATCTTAAGCTGATCTGGAATAAATATGCAAATTTATTTAACATAAGTAATTGTTAATAATTATACGGTGTTCCAATGACTCAATTGGAAATAATATCTATTATTTCTTAATAATCATAATAATAATAATGAAAACATTAATAATAATGATTAAAGTGAAAGAGGATATAGATAACAGGATTTAATTCCTACATTTAGATGAATGGTGGAGACTTTAAAATGATCTATTCTCAATTGATCCATAGCTCAGATATATCTGGAGGTTAAATTGACTGAAAATTTATGGTTTTTCTTCAACAGAACATATTTTATTTGTTCTGATGAAGAAAAGGGTGGAAAGAAGATAAAACAAGAGAAAAACAGCAAAGCTAAACTAATAAGGATCCATATAGATGCTGTTTATTTTTCCATCTGGAACAGTCCATGTGGAATTTGGGTTGATAATTTATTATTATTATTATTATTTTTATTTTATATACTCTAATAATCCCAGAAGGAAATTCCCTCTCTGCATTTAACCCCTCCCCTTGGGGAGCAGTGGGCTGCCATTGTGCGGTGCCCGGGGAGCAGTGTGGGGTTAAGGGTCTTGCTCAGGGACCCAGAGTGGCAGTCAGTGGGATTGGGGGATCGAACTCTGAGGTTGTGAGTTCGATCCCCCACTCCCACAGACTGCCACTCTGGGTCCCTGAGCAAGACCCCTAACCCTTAATTGAGAGCAGAATAAATAAACAACCTAAATAAAATACTAAATTATGACTAAACCAGTAAAGTAAATAAATAAGGGAATAAAATGGCCTTATAAAGGAAAATGATCTATTAAGGTAATTCTTAGCAGCAGAGGACAGAAACGACTGCTAGACTGCTGGATGAAGTTTGAACACCTCAGCCTGACTGTCTGATGAGTGTTTGGGGAAAATCAGCTTTGTTGATGTTTGTTGATGGTTCAGCTTCTTGCACCCCTGGTTTGGTGTTTCTTCACCTCATGAAATGAATGTTTCTGGTTCTTTGATTTTGCTTCGCCTTGGAAACATCGTTCTTGAAATCGGATGGAAAGCCTTTATTCTTCTTCCACACATCATGTCTGGTGGAAGCAACAGAGAAGGCTGTGCTGCAGCGTCTCCCCTTGTTTACAGCGCTGCAGGTCCTCCCTCCCTCCTCTGCTGAGGAGAAGTTTGTTTGGATTTCTGCAGGTGCAGAAGTGATAAAGGTACCGAACACTAAGGAAGTACATTTACTGGGTAAGTTTGAAATTATGGAATAATTCAATCATTTGTGACAAAGTTCAAATTTTAATTTAAAGTTCTTTAAGCTGCATGAACTTATTTTTATCTCCTATTGTTTGTGAAAGGCTAAGATAACATCTGATCTTTCCTTCCCTCAGCTCCTTTAATTCAGCATGTTGGTAACTTTGACTCCCAGTTTTCCTCCCCATGAGCTCATGACGGGTCGACCCGTTCCTGGACCACAGAACGGGCCTGACCTCTGACCTCTGGCCAGGCTGGGACTGACAGGTGGCACATTAAAATGACCTACAAGACCTTTTTTTCCCCCCCTTAGTCAGAGAAGGCTTTACAGAGGGACCAAGGTGCCTGGAGATCCTGATGGAGGACCTTCTCAGCCATCCTTCCATCCTTCAGCAGGAGGAGGCGGGGCTCAAAGTCATCAAAGAAAGTGATCTGAGCTCATCTGGAAGGAACCAGGAAAAGCTTCAACAATCAGAATAAAGGGGCAGAATAATCCCCTCTGATTGGTTAATTAACACATCAGTAGTCCACCTGATGTGTTGAGGACCAGCTGCTCTGCAGACCACCCATTGATCCGCGTTCAAAATGTCGCCTGTATAAGGGACCAACATCAACAGAAAGATGAAGACGCCCACCTGAAGATGTCTGACATCAGCTTTGGCTTTTTGATTTTTTAATCATACAACATGAATGAGAAGGGAAATGTGTTGTAATGTGTTGTATTTTAATGAAAGGTGAAAATTTTTAGCATCTGCGTGTTTGATATTAGTTTTTTAATACAAATAAAGTCCAAGTGTTAGATGACCACCTGATGGCTGATGGTCAGTATTGGCAGAGATTTCTGGATTAGAGAATGAACTCTGATGATCGGGTCTCAGCTACCATTGGGAAAGAGGAGCGCTGAGATTAAATCCTCCAACTTTTCAATGTGTGCTTTGACTGAGCCTGATTCTGAAGAGCTGAACTCGTCATCTGCGTGAAACATCTTTGTGTTATGATTTTAACATTTTGCATAGATTGATTCTTTTTTTTTTTTACTTTTAATGAAATTCAGATTAATAATTTGACTTAAACTTTGTAGAGATAAAGGGGTCTATTGTTTTGACTGATTCCGTAAAAGTAAAAAAAATATCCACTGGACTTGGTTTCCAAGATTTGAAGACGTTTCTCCACCTCTCCAGGAAGCTTTCTCAATTCAAATGTCTGGATCCGCAGTGAGTTTGAGTCTTTATATAGACAAGGCCTTGTATCGCTTGGAAACATGCAAATGGTAACCGATGAATGGGTCGTTTGGTTCCATCGTTAGCCTGTAATATCACGCTAACGATGGATTCAATTTGAATTGATAAAGCTTCCCGGAAACTTCTTCAAATCCTGGAAACCAAGTTCAGTGGATATTTCTTGAATTTTTAAGAAATGACTACACTGAAAAAAAAATAGAGGTTGACAGAACTTACATTTTCTAGGCAACGTGATGCATTTGGTTTTTTGAGTTTTCTTTACTTAAATTCACTGTGGTTGAGTTTACAAAGATTTTTGAGTTCTGCCAACTTAGGTTTTTGGAGTGTTACATAGAAATTTTGAGTTCTACCAACTTAGGTTTTTGAGTTTCACCTTTAAGTTCTGAGTTCTATCAACTTTGTTTTATGAGTTTGACATATAGATTTTGAGTTCTACAAACTCAGATTTTGTAGTGTTATCTGCAAGTTGAGTTCTATCAACTCAGTTTTTTTAATCCTACCAATCGTCTTCACTACCAATCATTCAACACACAAAAAATTATGTTAATACAACATTTTTATTGCTTCAAGCCAAACATTGCATAGATACAGTGTAAAACCATGTTCAACAACATAATCTTAACTGCACAGATCAAAGTAACATGACACTGGACCAGAATGTTCTAGATTCGTAAGAGTGATGATGAGGGAAAAAAACAGTAAGACACCATTTTAGTAAGAGGAAAACA